CCATGTCAAAGCTCTACCCCCCCAGGAGTGTAGGGAAAGTCCTGCACATAAGGAGGTCTGTCTCACCATGCAGGGTCATTGCTGCCTAAAATTTCTGGATCCATTCGAAAGGATCAGTGTCGCCCACATACGTTGTGATATTTGAGGGCCCTTTGAAACCGAGGGGTATAGGCGTTAGGCATACACTATCAGTCAGGGGTTTGTTGCGTCCTGAGGTGTTGGCAGGTGTTACTCTTAAGTTCGGGTTACGAGCATGTAGGTCTGGTGGTGGGTGCGGTGATTGGGGGGCCTCAACAGAGTAAGAGAGGGCTGGGGCTTGATGAGCGCCATACTGTGGCGGGCCTGGGTTTATGCCTGATCCTTAGGGTTGTGGGATGATAGCATTATGGGGCGGTATTGCGTAACCGTGGAATGGAAAACCAGTAGGGAAAGGTGGGGGGTAAGGGGCAGCAACATTGTGGGTGTAAGGTCCAGGGGGATATGGGGTGGCCACTGGAACTCGGTGGTCATTGTACATAGCGACAGGCTGGCTTCTAGCTGGTCGTTGGTAATAAGCTGGGGGGATGATTTGCGGGCCAGGGATGGGGAGTGGCATTCCAAAACGAACTCTTGGCGGTGGAGGTTGATTTGGGATCAAGTTCTCTCCTTGCATTTCGCGTATGGCTACGCGACGATGCAGTTGTGCTACTTCAGCGTCTGCTGCTGGTAACTGTGGGCCAACATATTGCAGTACCGGGGGAAGGGCCTCGCCGGCTGCTTGCTCAGCTGGGGATGAATGCATGGATGGTGGAGAGTTAGAATGAACTGTTTGTGCATGACCTTCAGGGGTAGCAGCTCTAGTTTGTTCTGCTCTTCTTGTCGTGATAGCCATGTTTTGCTATCAGAAAGTGAAATGCCTCCTTTAGATCTTTGGTAGGAGAATGGGAATGGAAGTTTATAGTTTCCCACAGACGGCGCCAATTTACCGTTGGAATCTATAAGCCCACTATGTTCCCTTTGGGGATGATATCACTGTATGGATGGTGCCACTAGCACAGGTAAAGACCAAGATATAGAGGACTGTACCAAGTATGATGGCAAGAAGATAACAATAGATGATTCAGTATGAGTATATGTGACTTAATATAAATGGGCATAATAACGATATATAAGATAAGATCCTTTCATGGTGCGCCCAAGGGGCTCTTTATAGGGGAAGGTGGTGCGCACCTGGTGTGAGTTGGTGAGGAGGGGATCAACCCTCCTTGGGATTCACTACGGGTGGCAGTGTTGGGCGTGGCAGGGGCTGCTATGATAGCAGCGTTGCGCCCTCTACGTCTGGCGGTATCAGCATGGGACAAAGGGGCAGTTTCCCTTTGTGGTGACTGTGGCGGTCTCCCTTGGGGGTTGGGGTCCCAAGACAGGATGTTTTGGTGCTTCTCCTAGGGAGAGTCGTTGCGTTGGGGAGGGATCCTTGATAGCTCCTAGGGCTGACGTGGGCAGGAGGCTGAAGTTGTGCCTGAATCATTGGGCCGCCAATGGTTGGGCCATCCGGAACAATTTCTGCCGCAAAACAACGTTGTATTGGACTTACTGCAGATAACTTATCTTCAGTAGCTGCACAAAAAGCAAATCCTTAATTAATATTTAAAATATTTTTTATGGGAGTGTGTTTGATTTATGTTTTTAATAAAATATTATTAATATTTAATTAAATAGTTAATTATAATTTCTGTTTAATAATTTTATTAACAATTAATCTATTTAACTAAGTAGGTTTTTTTCTTTAGATTTCATAACTTATAATTACTAAATTAATCTGTTTATGTTTTTTTTCTTAACGTTTCATTAACAACTAATCTGCTCACCCAAAAAACCCTAAATAAACAATTACTGGATCTAAAAGGGTATCAATAATTTTAAGGCTAATAATTGTATTTATAAAATAATGTAAACACTAATTACAAAAATCCCTAAAAGAATATTACAGTTTCAATAATTAAAACACTAATTAAAAATTCTATTATTTTACTAATAAATTCCATTACTACGGTTTAAATAATATAAACACTAAGGTAATTAAAATACTTTTATTACTATTTCAGAATTACAGTTTATTAATTAATGTATTGAATTGGTTTCTTTCGTAGAATTTCATTGCATCTATTTACTAAATTAATTAAAACAAAAATTATAAATTAATTAAAAGTACTGAATTTGCTTACAGAAAAAGATTCAAAATCACTGCATCTAATGGTTTCCATAGTTCTACAACCTAATTAAATTTATCAAATAATTAAAACGTAATTCAAAAAATTCTTAAAGTTTAAATAATTATTAATTAAAATATCAATCTTAAATTAATTAAGACAGACATTATTTTACTACTGAAAAAACATAAATCTTACAGTTGCAATGTTTATCACTAGTATGAAGACAATGTTCACCTGTTACCTGTTCGCAACTTTAGTTATATTATTAATTTACAAAGACTTTTATTACGTAACTTTTATTATACGTAATAAAAGACTTTTCGGAAAATATTATTAATTTACAAAGATTTCTATTATACGTAACTTTTATTATATTATTAATTTACAAAGACTTTTTTTTTTTTGGATAGACACAAAGACTTTAGTTATACAAAATATATACATGAAGAAAATGATTAGCAACCTTACGTAACCTATATTGTTTATAATATTTAACATGAAGAAAGGGATTAGCAAAGGAAAGCGTCGTGGCAGCTAGGGGTAATAAATGAATCAGGACCTTTGACTCAGCTCGTAAAGATAGGAGCTTACACGTCTAAGTTTGGTTGTTGGAAGCAGACTTGGACTTGTATAAAAGCTTGTTTAATAAAAAGGCCGAAGGCTCCAATTCAAAAACTCGGCCTTAGAGCCTCTCAGGCTGGTCTAGTATATTAATTTTTATTTTTTTTATACTACTTGTAATAGCCCTTTTTCTCTCCTTAATCCATTTCACTCAATTTTATTTGATAAATACCCTTTTTGAATGATTTTGTTCTATATTATGATGTTTGGATATATATTAAATTTATGAAAATTTATGGAATTACTAGTGATGTTGATTGTATATTCTATTTGGATAAGTTTTTGTTATCTTATTTTTTTTAAACAGACTAACAGGCTAAATCAGGTTTTTATTTTTTGTAAATAAGTCAGGTCACAGGCCGATAATTATATTCATATCAGGTAACAGGCTTGGTCAGACTGACACATTTAAACACAGGCTTAGCCTTTTAAAACCAAAGCTTGGCTCGGCTCGGCCCGTTAACACCCCTAGTGGCAGCTGATGGGTCTTGAGATGTCAAAAAGAGTGACGAGTTTGCAGTGTTTAGCGTCATGGTGGTTGACGGCATTGCATGAGCTGCCTACATGTCACCCAGTCACGCCATGCAGTGGCGGAGCCACATACCTTCTGGGTGTGGCCTCGGCCCGGGCTAAATTTTAACAAATTATACCTATTATATATAATTATGTAATTAATTATAATTTAGTCCGGGTTAAAAATATAATTTGGCCCGGACTACAATTTATAATTTGGCCCTATCTAAAACTTAATATATTTTTGGGAAGAGATTTGAGTAAGTTGTATTAGGTTATGTGTTCAATTTCTACTTTTATAAAATTACTAAAATTATAATTCTTCTTGGTACTGCCTGCTCAAGTGCTCTGTATTTAACATAATTTAAATGAAGAGGGTTATATATTTACAAATTTTTTGTTTACAAATTCTTATAAACTACACTATGTATTCCCAGAAAAGTTACATTATGTTTTTCGGAAGTATATAGTATAATTTGCAAAAAAATTAAAAAATATTTGTAAACGGATCCTTTCCCCATTTAAATTTATTATGATTTGAACTAATTAAAATTAAGAAAAATAAATACACATATAATTTTTTAGCCCGGGCTCAAATTTGAACCCGGCTCCGCCACTAACGCCATGCACACTGACAGGACCATTCGCGTCATGTTGACAAATGTGTTTGACTGCTCTACATCGAAAAAATATTTCATAATAGCTTTCACTTGGAGAAACATTCCTCGTTTCTGAGTAGTACAGTCGTTTTGTCCATAATTTGTTTTCACGTAACCTTTTTAGTAATTTTAACTTCAGAAAGTGTTTTTTATTTTAATATCCATATAATTTTTTGGGAAAAGTGTTTTTCATATATTATATTCAAATGCAAAATAATTTTAATTTTATTAAAAAATTCTTTTAAAATAAAGGATTCGTTTTTTCTGCAGTTGTTGCAGATGCAGATAAGTTATCTGCAGTAAGCCCAATACGGCGTCGTTTTGGGTCGAAAATTATGGTGTTTTTGTAATTTTAATTTATTTCAGGGTTATAATAGTCTTTATATTTATAAATTTTTAAGATTTTAATATCAAAACGATGTCATTTTAAAAATAAATGCAGATAACTTATCTTATCTGCAGTAACTGCAGAAATATTTTTTCCTAAAAACAAATGAGGTATAAAATGTTTTTTCTTTTAAAGTTTATCCAAACGGGTTTAGCTTAAACCAGTTGAATCTCGGTCGATCAATGTTTAGCTCTTTGTTCAAATAGTGAGATAGAATTATATCAGTTTGGAAAAGCTCGACACCTCCTCCTCCACTCGTCTTATTTAATCCATCCCAAGCAAATTTTACCAGAGCACATATTGTAAATATAAATAAATCAGAAAATGAATTCACTCATTATAATAACATATTTAAAGAGTTCACCATATGTCCTTTGGTGTACACCGTAGAATGACCCATTAAAAAATATCATCCTGAAGTCATTTGAGTTGTTAAGACGGTAGAACAAATTACAAACAAAATATTAGTAAAGGAAACTTCGAAGAAGGCAACGAAGTGACTTAAGATATTATTACAAATTACCAAAAGATAAATTAAAATAAAAAAATATTCTTTCGAAGGCAAAGAAGTTAACTCCGCCTGCTGTTTTGTTTACAAGAGGCCAACTTTTGTTTCTTTATTCAATTTACTTTACCAAACTGTGTTTCTAAACTTCTCTAGTTTCAGAACGGTGAGCAATCATGGCAAGGCAAGAATCATTGTTGCCCTCTTCTTCCTTTAGCTTTGGATGGAAATACGATGTGTTTCTCAGCTTCAGAGGAGAAGATACTCGTCACGGTTTCACTGGCTATCTCTACAAAGCTCTTCGTGACAGGGGAATTCACACCTTCATTGATGATGAAGAGCTTCAAAGAGGAGCGGAAATCACACCATCACTTGCCAAGGCAATTGAAGAATCCAGGATTGCCGTCACTGTGTTCTCTAAGAACTATGCTTCTTCTTCATTTTGCTTGAATGAACTTGTCCATATCCTTCACTGTATCAAAGAAAAGGGTCGGTTGGTTTTGCCAGTTTTCTATGACGTTGACCCTTCTCACGTGCGACATCAGAGGGGTAGCTATGAACAAGCAATGGCTAGTCATGAAGAGAGGTTCAAGGACAACAAGGAGAAGCTGCGGAAATGGAGGATGGCTCTGCATCAAGCAGCTAACTTGTCTGGCTTTCATTTTAAACAACAGGGGTACTGTTTTATTTTCGTACGTTTTGTTTCTTTAATTTTCATTTCTCTTATGATTTGGTTTTAATGTTAATATGATTCATTTAGTATCACTTTACTCAATAATTGGTCAGGAATGAGTACGAATATGAGTTTATTGAGAAGATTGCTAAAGTGGTCTCCAACAAGATTAATCGCTCTCCTTTACATGTTGCGGAATATCCAGTTGGATTGGAGTCTAAAGTGCTTAAAATAATCTCTCTTCTCAATGTCGGATCTGATGGAGTCCACATGATAGGGATCCATGGAATTGGTGGCATAGGGAAGACAACCGTTGCTCGAGCAATTTATAATGCTACTGCTGATTCATTTGAAGCTTTGTGTTTTCTTGATAATGTGAGAGAAAATTCAATTAAACATGGATTAGAACATCTCCAAATGACACTTCTTTCTGATTTAGTTGGAGAGAAGGATATTAAGTTATCAAGTGTCAATAAAGGAATTCCAATAATAAAGCATAGGCTCCAGCAGAAGAAGGTTCTTATAGTTCTTGATGATGTTGATAAACGACAGCAATTGCAGGCAACTGTTGGAAAGCCTGATTGGTTTGGTTCTGGTAGCAGAATCATCATTACAACTCGGGACAAGCATTTGCTGAAAAGTCATGAGGTTGAAAGAACGTATGAGGTAGATGGGTTGAATAAAAAAGAAGCTCTTGAATTGCTCTGTCAGAATGCTTTTAGAACTGATAAAATTGATCCTAGTTATGTTGACATTTTAAACCGTGCAGTGACTTATGCTTCTGGACTTCCATTGGCTTTGGAGGTAATAGGTTCCAACTTGTTTGGAAAAAGGATAGAAGAATGGGAATCTGCATTAGATCAGTACAGAAGAATTCCTAATTATGAGATCCAGAACATACTGAAAGTAAGTTTTGATTCTTTGGAGGAAGATCAGAAAAAATTGTTTCTTGATATTGCTTGTTGCTTGAAAGGATATGTTTTGGCATATGTTTATGCTCATCATGATTTTCGCCCAGAATATGGCATTGGAGTGTTGATTGACAAATCTCTCATAAAGATTAATGTATCTGGTCATGTAACATTGCATGACCTGATAGAGGAAATGGGTAAAGAAATTGTCAGACTCGAAGCACCAAGAGAGCTAGGAAAACGTAGTAGATTATGGTTCCCCAATGATATAGTTCAAGTTTTACAAGATAATACAGTAAGATTGATATGGACGCTTTGGTTTTCCAAATTTTACCTTTATATATCTCTTTTGATTATTATGTGCTAGACACCTAGGTTATTATATTTATAAGTCTATTTACAATCTTTTGTTGACAATGTTATTTCACTTTCTGTTGTTCTACATACATATATGTGTGTGTGTGTGTGTGTGTGTGTGTGTGCATGTGTGTGTGTGTGTATGCATGTATTACGGTTGACTTGTGGTTTTGTCTTGAAAGGGAACTAGTAGTATTCAAATCATAATTCTGGAATTCCCAAAATTTGAAGAAGTAGTTGAATGGGATGGAAACGCCTTCAAGAAGATGGAAAACCTCAAAACACTTATTATTAGAAACAGTTGTTTTGCACAAGGTCCCAAACATCTTCCAAATAGTTTGAGAATACTGGAATGGTGGAGATATCCTTCACCATCTTTACCGTCTGATTTTCATCCAGAGAAACTTGTGATACTGAAGTTACCTGAAAGTCGTTCTATTTCAATTGATTTTCTCAAGTCAAATAAGGTAAGTATAATATGTTCCTTTCCTTGGTCTTTTATATCAATATATTCATTCTATTATAATTCATTTGATTCATATTTCTTGTTTTGTTTTCTATTTTTTGGTGGCAGGAGTTTGTGAATATGAGAGTTTTGAATTTTAAAAAATGTGAATGTATTATCGAGATACCTGATGTGTCTGGTGTCCCAAATTTAGAAGAATTATCATTTGAAAAATGTTATAATTTAATTAAAATTCACACATCAGTTGGATTCTTGAATAAACTTAAATTCTTGAACGCTGATTATTGTGAGAAGTTAAGGAGTTTTCCACCCATCAAGTTGACCTCTCTTAAAAAACTCCAACTTTCATATTGTCCGAGTCTTGAGAATTTTCCAGAAATATTAGGAAAGATGGAAAAAATAACAAGGCTTGGTATCACTGACACTCCCATAAAAGAACTACCATTTTCAATTCAAAATCTCACTCAGCTTGAAAGTCTAGAGCTGAGGCGTTGTGGAGTTCTGCAGTTACCAAGGAGCATTTCGACGATGCGAAAACATCTTTTGTTGATTGTTAGGGAATGTGAGGGATTGCTTTTATCTAAACAGGACGAAGGTGAGGCACAACTCATTTATAGTGTTGACCTTTGGGAATGCAATATATCAGACGAATTCATTCGAAAAGGTCTCCCTTTGTTTGCCAATGTGCAACGGTTAAGCCTATCCAAGTGTAATCTCACAATTCTTCCTGCATGCATCAAAGAATGTTGCTTTTTGACAGAATTTTCTTTACTTTCTTGCGAGAATTTTCGGGAAATTGGAGGGATTCCTCCCAACTTAGAAACATTCTCTGTAGTGAAGTGCACATCCTTGAAAGTTTTAGACCTCACACTATTTCCTGAATGTTTGAAGACACTTGCTTTGGTTGAGTGTGGGAATCTTCAAGAAATTAAGGGGATTTCACCCAACATAAGAACTTTGTATGCAGAAGTCTGCCCATCCTTGACATTCGAGTGTACAAGCATGTTACTGAATGAGGTTCTTCTTTTCTTATGTATTTAATTTGATATTTCATACATTTTATGTTGACTCAAACTATACAAGTGTTGCTAAATGTATGAATATATTATGACTAATAGGAACTGCACGAGAAGGGTGGAGGCAAACTGTTTCTCTTGCCAGAAACAAGGATTCCAGAGTGGTTTGAGCATTGTGTCAGGGGACCGTCAATTTCTTTCTGGTTTCGTAACAAGATCCCTGCGATATCTCTATGTTTTGCTATTCACATTGGATATTATGCCACTTTTCGGCTCAATATTGAAGTCAACGGCATTTCAAAAGACACAGAAGAGGATTTCTATTTGGCTTACAATGCAGGGGATTATACGGTTCTTTCCGATATAAAACAAGATAAATTCTTACTTGACGGAATTTTTTCTGATATAGAAGAAAATAAATGGAATTATGTGGTGTGTACTTTATCAAGCACAGAAGAAACAGTGTTTGTCAAACAAAGTGGAATCCATGTATTCAAACAAGGAAGTCTCATGGAGGACATTCAATTCAGCGATCCACTGTTGCTTAAAGAAGAGCATAGATTGGTGGACATGGCAGACTGTCGGACAATTTATGCAGCACCAAAATAATTTGGCTTGATTGCCTTTTTTGGAAACAATAAAATTGGGAAAGGGCAAAGAGTTGCTTTCATTGCTTCCACCTACAGCATCGAACAATAATATGAATTGGCATTCAAATTCAATGGTATCAAAGCTGAGAAGTAGCACTCCCAATTTCCAAGGTAAATATACATTTGTGTCATTTCTTTCTTGGTATGCTTTCACTATTTCCGAATTTACTTGCCCTATATATTTTTCTTCTCAACGATTACCAGGGCTAGAACGCTAACGTGGTGCATTATTAATTTTTTCTTGAAGAAAGTATAAATAATTTCAATTAGTTGTTTAAGTAATGTAAGAGATATTGAATTCTATAAGATTATGAATTAGTATGGAAATATAACAAAATAATATTTGCAAATTTTGATTTAACTTGTTAGTTTATAAGCTATTTTGGCTTCTTAATTTGGAAAAATTTACTCAACTTTATCATCTCAATAGGCTGTGAAATTGTGTCCATAAAGAGGAAAATAGGTATGTTAAATGTGAACTTGGACAATGCAGCCTGTGAACCTTCTTGTTCTGCACCTTCAAAAGTGGCTTTGAATTCAGCAGCGTCAAACTTTGCTAGGGGTGCTGCCACCGAAGAAGGTAAACAATTTGGGGGTATTTATTTATGAAGAGATTGGATTTTCTAACCATAAGATGCACATTAAGATTCAGATTCATATTTGCTTATTTATTTATTTATTTTGTCAATATTACTATTCAAACAAACAAGCAAGGTCAATTACAATATCAATTCCACAAAAGTTTTCAGTCTCTTGAGAGTTGAGAGTGCCTCACCTTATGTTACCTAACTTAATTTTCCGCGTTACGGAATTTATTCTTTGGGCTAATTTCATATGAAGACAACTGGTACTGTATTGACAACTAGTAAAATAAAAGCGAATTACTAAAATGAACATTTCAGACTTACATTATAGGATTTTTGTTTTATCCTTTAACATAACAGAACAAACTCTCCTACACTCATAACATTTTGTGGGGCCCACACTTTTTAAAACAAAAAAATAAATAAAAAATTAAGGCACGCAAAACGAATCTCTATAACATTACACAATCACTTTTCCTACAACATAACTCTTATAAAACCCTACATTATATTCATCAGAAAAAGGATGATTAGTCAAACTTATAAATTGAATATCTCACCATCTGAACAAAGTTTTTATTTGTATGTCTACCGTTACTAACGCTTCTGTTTTTGTATATTAAAAAATGGCCATTGTGTTGCTTGCATCATCATACTCTAAATTGTCATACTTCAGGAGAATCTTCGCAAAATATTCAGGCCCCAATTCCCCCTTCATCAAGCGGCAAAGTTAGTGGAGAAGAAATACACCTAAAAACGTGTTGCACGGTGTCGCCAACCTCAATTGACGCGTCTTTCAAAAATCAAATTGAGCCAAGTCAAGACGATGTAGAAACAGAAGCATTTTATGCTTCTCTTGAAAGATAAGAACCTGTAAGATTTTCTTAGTTTTCAGCCAAATAGATGTACACACTTAAATGTAAAGCGTGTAAATCAAACTAATCAAAATGGCAAAAAAAAAATATTCCTTGACGAAATATGTGCACGACTTTGAAGATGAAAATATTCATTTTCTTTTCACTTCTTTCCTCTTTATTTGCTTCCTTTCTTTTTCCTGTATGGTGCAGGCATTTAAGAATGTATTGGGTAAATTTGTAGGAGCGAATCTTAGGGGGGTCAGATAAGATGCTTAGTGAAGGAAACTTTATAGATGAATTGGCCCTACAGGTATCTCCGAAGAGCAATTGATGCATATTTGAAATTGGAAGCTTTTCTTTATCCTGATCTATACTTTTTTTCTATTTGTCAGTTGTTTAATTTACAGTTCAGTAGATGACTATCACTAATTTTAACAGTGTTGTATGCACATTATCTGATTAATGCATTGAGTTGAATGTAACTTAAAACAGATTGAAATTTTATTTAGTTGATTCTCTAGCTCCACGATTCATGTTTCCTTACCAAGATAAAAAATTGTCAATCCGGACTAGCTAAACTAGCTTGTTATACCAAAATGAAGGACCCTTGGTGAAAATTAAGTTTTCTTACTCGAAAATCTTTATGTTTAACCACAAGGAGGGACAACTATAAATATGCGTGAAAGAAAGGTGGTCTGATCTGATACCAGGACTAGATCAGTGACCTGTTCTAGTTTAGCAAGTTGGACAAAAATATTGGTATAGTAACACTACTCCAAATGAAGAGGCCAGGGAAGCACTGAAAATAGTATAAGACTCATCTCCAATGATGCTTCAGTTTTTCTGCATACTGAGGAATTATGTAGTATCTTGAAAACTAGGAATATGAGGATAAATGAGAACATTGATCTCAGAAGCTTGAGTTGCTGAGAGCTGATAAATTAGAAGTTGATCTGGAAAATAACATGAACCACTTCAGGGAACTTGTAGGAGCTGCTTCAGAAGTTCACCTGTATGGAAGAGCAAATCGTTGCTATAAAAGCTAACATCCCTGCCTCTCAAACGGTTTTAAGAACATTGATTCATAAGAGAAGGAAAGATATCTTTGAGGAAGGAAAGTCACTAACTCAAATGGTTAATGCCCTGTGCATAAATAATTTGGTTACAGGTTTTTGAAGTCTTTTTGTTGTTAATTTAGTAGTTGTGTGACACAATTTTGTACTAATTTTAAAGATTAATTAAATTCTGGTTATTTGCAAGGCTAGTTTACCATGAAACAATTTCCCTAACATGATGTGGTTATATTTATCCTTACGAGTATTGAAAATTTATCCCTACATATGATAGATTGCTAAACTAACAACTGACAGGAATTGCCACCGAAGCTTTGTGGCTTCAGAACAAGTTCCCTGTCACATCTCTCTGTTATGTATTTTGTCATTTTCTCCCAGATACGTTTTACCCTTAATTGGATGAAAAAAGTGAATAAAGGAATAAAGTGAATAAAGTGTCTCGTTAACTAAAGGAATTACTTCCGGTTCTTGCCAGCTGCTGGTCATATATTTTAATTGGATGAAAAACAGTTAAAATTTGAAGATTGTTGCTTGTTAATTATTAGGGAAAAGTTGAAAAATTCCCCAATGAAAAGAGCCAATTTTGAAAAGACTAGAGGAGGTTTTGAGGGGATACCACAAGAGGAGGAGATTTAAATGTTCATGTTGATAAAAGCAATGGAAGTTTTGGTAGAATTCAAGGAGGTTTTGGTTATGGAACGAGAAATGAAACTAGAGAAGATATCTTGAACGTTGCACTAGCCTACGATTTGATCCTAGCGAACACTTTTTTTTGAAAAAGGGAGTCACATCTAATCACATATCATAGTGGCCAAAATCGTAGTCAGATTGATTTCTTTATGGCTAGAAGAGAAGATAGAACCTCTTGTGTTGACTGTAAGGTCTTCCCTAACGAGTGTGTCGCTATGCAACATAAGTTGGTAGTACTAGAGATTCGGTTCAACAAAGTACGTAAAATGAGGAAGAGCGCTCAGAACCCAAGGATAAGATGGTGAAAGCTAAAGGAGGAAAAACAGAGAGAGTTCAATGAAAGAATGTTGCATGAAGGACCATGGGAGTTTGATGGAGGAGCAAATGAAATATGAAATGAGATGACTACGTGTATTCAAAATAAGGGAAGGAGGGTGTTGGGTGAAAGCTAAGGAAATAGTTTTCATACAAAGAAAACATGGTGGTGGAATGGAGAGGTGCAGGAGGCAATTAAACAGAAGAATGAATGCTTTATATCTTTGCATAAAAGTCCCAATGATAATAACTTGCAAAATTTTAGATTGGCGAGAAAAAATGCAAAGAAAGTAGTGTGGGAAGGTAGAGGCAAGGTTTTCACCGATTTGTATAAAAATCTTGGGAGCAAGGATGGTTAAAAAGGAATATATAAACTTCCGAAAATGAGGGTTAAGAAAAGTAAAGACCTCACCCAAGTTAGATACATCATGAATGAAAATCAAAAACTTTTGGTGAGAGATGAAGATGTAAATGAAAGATGGATGAACTACTTTAACAAGCTGTTTAATGGAGATGGCGATAAAAGCGAGGTGGACTTGGAGGACGCTTATGATGATTTGAATAGAAGATTTGTGCGTAGAATCAATACACATGAAGTTAGGGAGGCTTTAAAGAGGATGCAAACTAATAAAGTCTTGGGACCCGATAGTGTCCCTATTGAAGTGTGGAAAGGCCTGGGAGATGTGGCAATAAAATGGTTGACCAATCTTTTCAATAAGATTTTTCAGACAAATAAGATGTCTGATGCATGGAGGAAAAGTATGTTTGTGCCTATGTTCTGGATGGTCTTTTTTTAGTCATTTTTTTTTTCATCTCCCCCCTTCTTCTTCCCCCTTCTTTTTTCCTTTATATCTTTTCTCCTTCCCCATCTTCTTTTTCCTCTTCTTCTCCTTTTTTTATTTTATTTTTTACACCCGTTTTATTTTTATTTTTATATTTATATATATTATTGTTATTATTTTAACTATTTTTATGTTTATTTTTATTTTTATCCCTTCATACCTTTTATTTGGGTTCATCTACCACCGAACTAAATATGTTATTGATGTTGATGTTGATTTTGCTTTGAATTACTTATACAGTTATACTTTTTTTTAAACATTTATCCCCTTAGGGTTTTTTCATCCAAGTCTATCCTTAACATTATTATAAACTTAATTAATTTATCTATTTTACTCTTTTTAGAGCAAGTAAATATATTTATGACAAAAAAATAAAAAAAATAATATTTACAGAAAAAATAAAAAATAAAAAAAAGTAAAGAAAAATTAAAATGAAATATGTTTGAAACTTATGACAAAGACAAAAAGTAATAGTGTTTACCCAAAAAAAATGAAAATAGCCTACATACACGTCAATAAGTAGTAGCGTTGCTAGGATACCCAAAAAAATATATATATAAGTAGTAGCGTTGCTGATAATGGATGATTTTGCAATTGCTTAAAGACGGAAAATAAAAATAAAAATAATGTGCACTTAGTAACCAGTTTTTCTTTTAAACTGACCATATTTGGATTTTTTTTTTTTTTAAACTTTCTTAGTGCCTGGATCCTTTTTTTTTTTTACGTAGCTACTTTGGCATTTTGAGACAATTCTACCATAGTCACTACCTATTTCAACTACTTTGGTCAAATACCTTAATCCAAAAATAAGAAAGAGGGATGCCGCTAATAAATTGTTAGACCTTTATTTTAAATATTTCATCTATTCTTAAATAAATATTTAATATTAATATCACCAATGGATAGTAAACTCATGTTATTTAACGAAAATCAAACATAAAATTTTATAATAAGAACGCTAAAATGAAAATATCAAAAAAATAAATTATTAACATTTTTATATAAGTAATAACACATTTCTATGATCATGGTGTACATTAATGAAAAATAAATAAATATTTATTAATGTTTTAATATTTAAAATTTTAATTTTTATATATGTTTTAACTCATTTTTTCTAAAACATTATAGTTTATAAAATATAATGTTTTAATATATAACTTTTTAATTTTTATATGTTTTAACTCATTTTTTATAACATATTATTAAACAAGTTTTATAACAATATTTTATAAAAAAAATGAGTTAGAAAATTTATAAAAATTAAAAAATTATATATAAATTTTTAAATTATATACTAAAACATTGTATTTTATAAACCATAATGTTTTACAAAAAAAGAGTTAAAACATATATAAAAATTAAAAAAATGATATATTATATTTTATAAAATATTATTAATCTATTAAAACATTATTAAATATTTATTTATTTTTCGTTAATGTACACCATGATTTTAGAGATGTGTTATTACTTATATAAAATTGTAAATAATTTATTTTTTTTGATATTTTCATTTTAACATTCTTATTGTAAAATTTTATGTTTGATTTCCATTAAATAACATGAGTTTACTATCCATTAGTGATGTTAATATTAAATTTTTATTTAAGAATAGATAAAATATTTAAAATAGAGGGTCCAGTAATTTATTAACGGCATCCCTCTTTCTTATTTGTGAATTATTAAGCTTCATTAGAAGGAAAAAACTTTACATTTGACCAAAGTAGTTGAATTAGGTAGCGACTATGATAGAATTATCTAAAAAAGAACGAGAAAAGTTGTCACAAGGCCAAAGTATAAGGTAGCTACTATGGTAAGGCCCTGGTTTTGTCCACTACTATGGGAAAGTAATGGACAGATGTGACAATTCAACCAAAGTCGCTACATAGGGTAGCGACTTTGGTATACTCAGGCCAAATCAGGCTTCTTACGTATTTGTATGGCTAACACGTGGCTTTCCATAATCGCTACATAACTCAACGACTATGGTGTCGTGGCAGTTTGGTGTATTTTTTCCCGTTTGGCATTCTGGTATATTATATATATTTTTGTGGTTGTACGGTCAATGTCCCTTTTTAAAACTATTATATGATTTTCTTGAATTGTGTGTTTTTTTAAATGAAGAACTATAAAGATAGAGAGAGAAATAATTTTCTTGAACTATGTGCTTTTAACCTAAAAGTTTTATGTAATTACCAAATAGCTTTTAGCTTTTCTTTAAGCTCTTTTATTAGCTTTAACTTATAAATAGCTTCTAGCTAAAAGAGAGAGGACCCAAACAGGCTCTTAAGCTAAAAGCTACTTATAAGCTAAAGCTAGAAAAAGAGCTTAAAAAAAGCTAAAAACTATTTGGTAATTGTATAAAAATTTTAGCTTAAAAATTGCCTTAAAACACACATTTCAAGAAAAGCTTCTCTCTCTATTTCTATGACTCTTCAATTCCAAAAAGCACACAATTCAAGAAAAGCTTATAAGAGCTTAAAAAAAAGCTCAT